GGGGGAGGGGTTAAAATTGCTTTAAGTGGGCTAATCAGAAAAAAAAGTCCCAAAAGGGGAAAAGTCTATTTAAAGAAGTTCTGTTAGTTTTTTTCCCCCTTCCTTTTTACTAGTTTAGAGTTAGTCTGGCTCGGAGGACACACTAACTTGCCCAATCAGTCTTACATTACAGCACCAGTCCAGAAATAGCTCCCCAGCCGCCCTGGCCTCCAGCGAGTTGCCATGGCAACAGAACCACAGTTCTATAAATAGCTCATCAGCACCAAATCTGGTGAGAGAGACAGCTGGAGCAGGGCCAGCCAAACCCCAGCTCAACAAATAAAAATAGGCAGCTTAAGAAATGGGCAAGGTACCAGTATCTCAACTTTAACATAAAGGCAGTGAAGCCAGAAGCAGGCTGGTCAGTGCCAGCAGGGCCTGGAAATCCTCTGGCCAGGGAAGACATTTTACAAGCCATGTCTTTTTTTCCCCGAGTTTCTTAAAACTTTCCATAAACTGTGGGGATGCTGCCACTTTCAGATGAAGCTGCAGGAGTAATTTAATGTTGCATTAAAAAGAAAAACTTTCAGATGGTGGAAGATTTAAAAAAAACCAAAACACCAAATCAGCCTAAACTGCTATTAATGAAACTGCCCCGCCCTCCCCCGGGGCACTCCCGGGCCTCCGAATCCTGTACCTGTCCTCTGACTTGGATCCAGGACACAAACGCAAACAATTCCAGGATTTCCATTTGTTTTGCGTTACTATAATTAGCACTTCCAGCTTTTAGTTCAAACTTTTGAGAAAATCAGGGACTTTGTTGAAGAAGGGGTTGGGGGTGGGGTGGGGGGTCGCAGAGACTGGCCAAGATGGGATTGTTTTTCTGTCCCTTGTGAAAATATACAAAGTTGCTTGTCTGTTAAACTCTTTGCAATAGCAAAGCAATTATTAGCTACCAGGGAGGGGAGAGGCAGCTTTCTGTCATGTTGTTAAATTACAGTAATAAAATAAAATATTTTTACATTACCCAAAGTGTGAGAGCTGCCCTGTCTCCCTAAATGCCTGGCGGTCAATTCAATCAATTACTTCAAGCTAATTAATTATGAATATCGCCTTACTGCTAGTAATTATCATTTTCGCTAACAGGCATTAATTGTTTATATAAAATAATGTCACTACACTAAAAAGTGCAATTTAAGGGCTTTGAAAAGCAAGTGAATGAGGAAACTGCTCAGAGCGCAGGTGGGGTAACTGGCTGCCACCCTCGCCCGTGAGGACTCATTTGCAAACGCCTCGGTCTGGGTAGTGACCATTCCCTCCTTGAGGGCGCGTGTCCCGTGATGAGGGGAGGCCACTTACTACTGGGCACAGTCAATCAGCTGGTACTCGTTGGAGCGCTCGTAGCAGGCTCGGACTCCCTCGTCCTCCCACAGAGCCTTGGCGTGCTCGTAGAATTCCTGCGGGGGGGCCGAGAGAGACGTTAGAGGCGGGGCCTGCACCCAGGGGGAGTCTAGGGGCCACTTCCAAATGAGGGCACCCCACGCATAGAGCTCGGAGCTGGTGCTGCATTCCTAGGGGTTTTAGGGTGCACTCAATTAACTGGACATAGGAGCTTGTGTGCCATGTTAACATACTCTCGTTTGTCACAAGATGCGTAAAAAGGGAATAGTAAGGGTGCCATAACTCATGGCTTTCTCTCATAAAAATCTACCATCTATCAAGTGTGGTCTGTATTATTAAAATGTGACGTGTACTTGTACAAGATTTACAAGGGGCGACAATTTTGCTCATACATCTTGAGCCATGCCCTAGTAATTATTAGTTCCTGGGGGGTTTTAAACATTAAGAACCCTCATGGAATTAACTTTCTCCTAAGCATCACGGGGATGTGCTTTGCCAGACACAGGCGTGGCCCGGACGCAGGTGAGCCCGTGACGCAGCCGCGGCGCGGGGCGGGCTGCGCGCGGGCGCCGCTTACGGGAGGGAAATCAAAGTCCGGCACGTTCATCACGCTCAGAATGTAGTCCACGCGGAACTGGTTCTCGGGGTTGGCCAGCTCCACGGGCGGCACCAGGTTGCTCATGGCGGCCACGATGGTCTGAAAGGGATTGAGCAAGCGGTCAGGGGGCAGCACTGCCTGGGGGGGCTAACAGAACGAGAGAGAACCTGAGCACGTACTTCAATGGCCTCCTTCAGGTTGTTTTTGATGTCCTGCACTTTGGTGGCCTTCTCACTACAGTGGGATTGAAAAGAAAAGAAAATCATATGGCATCATGTTGCCCAACAGGGTGGCTTTAGTCAAGACATTCCAACTAAGCATAGTATTCTGTTCTTGAAGGAGTGATTGGAGGGTCCCGAATGAGGGTGGTCTTAAATGACCACCTCCCAGTTCTGGCCGGAGGGCACGCCTGATGGCGGCCGATCAGCAAATTGGCATCCCGAGTGTGACCAAGGCCTACTGTACCAGAGGTTGGACCCTGTCCGTCGCTCCCTCGCTTGCGGGCCCAGGTGCTTGAAGCCCCCACTGCACACTAACACGTCCTCGGTGTTACCAGCGGCTCTGCTGGGGGTGGGTGATGTCACTGTGAGGCCCAGGAGGGTGTCATGGCTCCGCCTGGGGCCGACTGGGCCCCTGGATTAGAGGGCTGAGTGACGTGGTGTGTTAATTAGATCTCAGGGCCTGCAGCCCTGGTTATTTGCTTGTTTACTTAAGTAGTCATTGTGTGTCTGTCACTGCAGCCAGCAGCAATGGACGTTTCTAGTTGATGACATCAGCACACACCGACCCTTCAGCATGGACAGAAATGAGATTTTGCCCTCGGAAGTCTTTTAAGACCTGAGACTTTTGTATTGGGGGTGGGGGCAGCGTCCTCCTCTTTAAGTAGAGGTTGGAGGTTTTGTTGCTTTAAAAAAATACATGTATTTTAAATATATCTTTATTGATTTCAGAGAGGGAGAGGGAGATAGAAACATCAATGATAAGTCATTGATTAGCTGCCTCCTGCGCGCCCCTGACTGGGGATGGAGCCTGCAGCCCAGGTATGTGCCCTGACAGGGAACTGAACTACGATCTCCTGGATCCTAGGTCAATGCTCAACCACTGAGCCACACCCAGCTGGGCTAAAATACTTTTAACTTGGAACTACAGAGTGGCCTGTGTGGAATGACCCACCATCAGTGACTGGTAAAGGCCACACCCTTGGGCTTCTGGGTCCCCTCCCCCCCACACAATGTCTGTACCCCCATTTGCATCAATTGAAATGCTGTGTCTTTTCGACCAGGGAGTTTGTGATTTTAGGGTAAAGGACCCCTAGCTTGGGGCATAAATCATGCTATGTCCATTGCCCCAACCCTGCCTCTGGGCTTATGGAACAGAAACACACCTGCTGTGTATTAGGCCCTGGGACATGACTAAGGAGGAAACTGAGGCCCAGAGGGAAAGTCTGAGTCACTGAAGAAGGGACAGAGCTCATCTTTGCTGTAATTTTTAAAATAATCTCTTGAGATTCCCCATCTTTGAAGGCTTCACCTAGATGCTTTACCAGAGTGAGGGGATGGAGGTAAAGACCCCTCAGAAGACAGAACATTAATACAGAGAAAATGCAAAGGGGTTAATAGGAGCCACAGGCTGCCCTGAGTGTTAGTGCTGCAGGGAGGAGGGAGGGAGTCTGGGGGAGCAGGGAGCGGGGACCTTGGGCCAGGGAGCTGATGGGGCCACATGCTT